CAGAAACAAAAGTAATATCCCCATTCTCTAGGAGCCACCAAAGCTTTGGGTTATCACCTTAAAGTTTAGTTATTTATGTACATCTCTCCTATCACTTATAGTTAAATCTAGCCTATTTGCATATTCGAATCCCTTGTAGAAAACAGGATATGAATATGTCCAATTAATATTTAGAAAGAGTATGACTAAACCATTTTCACCAGTATGAAATAAATAAGGCAAATTAACCATCTAACAAATTAATTTTTCTAGATCATTTTCAGTTTTAAGTGTTTTCATTTAGATATGACTTGTGGATAACTGAAAATGATCCTAATAAGTTTATATGATATAACAATAGGTAGTAATAAATAAAAAACACTCAGAGTTTTAAAATGTTCTGTGTTTGGTGAGTTAGTTGTCAACTTTCTAAATCACCTGTCTCTGTCCTCAAAATTTCTTATTATCTTTAATCTGTTATTGCACCCAAGAATGCTTTTATGTTTAAGGTTATCTCTGTGGAAGTGAAATTATCTAAGGTCATCTCACACTCAGGAAGTTTTCTATCTTGATTAAGTAAGGGATTAAGTAACCTTTTCTATGTGGCATGTGCTGCATGTGTGTGTATGTGTGTGTGTTTGTTCATGTGTGTATCTATGTGCAAACAATTTCAGAAAAAAAAGTCTTAAGTACTTGAATATGAGAATAAGGCTATGTTTCTAAACCTTAATGAGGGATGAAAAGTTTCTTTCAAGCATACTTCAATTTAAAATTGGCACAAAGGAAAAAGATAATTCTTACCAACGATGGTCAATGTATTTCAAGTAAAACTAGAATTAAGGAATAATTTTCCAGGGTAAAGGGCTCTGTGCCTCTCCAATCATACTATGTAGGGGATTTGTATGTTGCCTCATAGATTCTACCTTTATATGTTTGTAATAACACAATAAGTAGAGTGACTTGGAGGAAGAGAACATTATGGTGAATAACTGTAACAGATTGCATTCTCATTGGTGCATTTCAAAACAGACTATAAGGCCTGGGAAACATACAGTTAGAATTATCATTTACTTGTTTCTTTACACAATAATTTATTCATTCATTCATTAGATATTCCTTGAAAGCCTATTTTGTATAAGGCACTATATGTTAACTCTTGTGAATATACAAAAAAGTATCCAACTTTTGAAAAGCTTACAATCTTGTAGTAAAAACAAATCTATGCCATGTAGCCTATATTTGTTTAGAATTATGAAACATTTTAATTGGCATATTTTTATAACCATTCATTAACACATATTAACAATAATTCCTGTTTATGCTTAAAATTCTAGCATGAATATTTATAGTGCATTCTTTTATCTTTACTTCAAAGGTGTGCTAGTTTGGAGGATAAATTATACCAGTCATTCTCAAGATGTAGTCTAGATACCCCTGATGGAATACCTAAGATGCTTTCATGGGGTTAGCAAGATCAAAATTGTTCTCATAATATACTATAAAATTCTTTTACATGTTTAATCTCATTTTTTACAAGTGGAGTTTTCCAGAGCTACATGATGTGTGATATTGTAACAGATTAAATGTAGAAGCAGACCTTAGAATCCAGCTGTCTTTTGTAAAGCTATATATTAAAGAAATTCCACACGTGGAAAACAAACCATTCTCTTAGTAGTTGTGTTGATTGAGAAAATATATTTAGTTTTCATTAAACTATGTTATTTATGGTAACATGTACTGGGTTTATTTTACTTATATTATTTTAACGAATGTATAAGTAAATATCTATTTTATTCTTATTTTTAATGTCTGACATGGTTAATGTTTATACATATAACCCATATACGTGTAAGCCCTTTGGAGCCCTGAATAGTATTTAAGACTGTAAAAGGGTACCGAGACTGAAAAGTTAGAGAATTTTATTACTGTAACTTTTTCCCTCTACCATTTCAATGACCAGTTTGGATTTCTTTCAGTTTCTGTCTTTCAAGTTAACTAATTTTATTTTTCAGATATGAACAGACTTCCTCTTATGAATTCATGCATTTAAGAAATGCAGTGGCCTTGTGATTGTACTGAAAGCTTGGAATACTAAAGTAAAGTAAATGAATTTTATTAAATAGGAAATTATTTTTAATTAAGTAAGCATTTATAAATATAAACTTTACCAGAGGCAAGCTACAAGGAAAAGCTATGTGCTTTATTTCTTCATATAATAATTTAATTTGACCTTAAAGGAAAGGACAGGAAACCTTCCCTTGGGAAGTTACATTGGAGCTGAAATACAAAGGTTCATAAGCATTTATAAAATGCTGAGTGCAAAGGGCATCACTGAAAGAGGAAATAGCATATGCAAAGGTCCTATGATAGCAGTAAGCATGAAAGATCACAGTGGCAAGAAAGATTCAGATTACTATAGTAGGAACACAATTAATGTAGTGTAGGGTGGATGGAATGGAATCAGGGTGAGAAATCCAGGTGAAGAGGAAAAGAGGGACAAAACCGTAAAAGGCTATGTGTGTACAATAAGGAATTTTTCTTTAATTCTAAGAGCAATGTGAAGCCACCAACAAGCTTAAATGGGTAAAGGGATAACCACGGGGTCTTTTTTTTTTTTGATCCCACAATTCAATTTGGTGTATAAAAGTGAGCACAGCTATGAGATGATGATGTTTGAACCTTCTCCAAGAAAAGGAGATATTTGGGGGTGGGGGGGAGAATCCATGTGTCATATCAATGGATAAGATATAGGAAAGAATGATGGGACTATGAACAGACATCCTTTCCTTAGTTCATGAATTTAAAAAATTGGTTGCACTTAGAGGTTTCCAAACTATGCAGCTGGCTGAATGGTGAAACATTTAAGTTGAGGAGAAGAGAGAAGCACTGACCACCAGTAAAAGCCCAGAACTTCCAAGAAAACAATAGTTCCTTGGGGCTGTCACATATAAGCTTATAGCTCTACAGTGAAGAATGAAGATGATGAACAGTAAACTTCAGGCTAAATAAAATCAGCAGCCCAATAACATCAATCTCAATGAAAAGAATTGTTTTATCCTCCTGAAACAGAAACACAAATCAAGCTCAAACTGGTTTTGACATCTGCTGTTTTTATAGCCCTGGATTCACTCCCCCCCGCCCCCCGCCTCCCCAATTCACTGTGGCCAATCACACTGGTATCAGA